TCGCATCCAAGATTATTGCACTTACATAGCGACGTGCATGTACGCGTGTGTGTGTGTGTGTGTGCGTGTGCGTGTGCGTGTGTGTGGCTGCTTGTACTAGTCCGGACTGGTGCCGATTTGTAGAGCTAGCACACTGAGATACCATGCCGCAGTTTAACATGAATACCCCACTCAGACACAGTATACTGACTCCGAGCCGACCAGTCCTTGATTTTAGCCCCTTAATGTCGAGCGCCAGTCAGGGAAACAACAAGTACCATCTTTTTAACGTCCTTGAGTATGACGCGGCCTGGGATCGAACATCGGACCTCCCGCCCTCTGGGCGGACGCTCTACCACTAGACCACAGAGGCGGTCACGATCCATTATAAATCAACTATAAATTATTGTCCGGATGGCCTACATTTCCCATCTTCCCGAGGGAGTTAACTGACTATATAAGTCCAGTTTTCACGTGGAAACTCCCTTGTCTTGGGAACTTAACAATTTCCGCAGTTAAACAAGAACATCTAAACATCCTCCTGTATATAGTTGTCGCACGACATATCTTTATGGAGTATATACAGCCTGTCGCTAAAAATACGTGCTAACAACAATCTGAAATGGTTTGGCAGTGTGAAAAGATTATATACACCTGAGAAAACGCCAGGCCAATACCGTGGCCATAGGTCGTATTTTGACAGCTGTCAAAGTCACTACAGTTACTTTCAGTTTCAAGAACAGGGTCATTTGTTACAAAGAAAGAAATTCGGAATTTCGATTATTTTCTCGTTACTACGATTGTTTCCTCGTTATTTCAATTATTTTCTCGAAATTTCTGGACAGTAATGCATATGCTATTGCACTTAAGCAATTGCCACAACAGGAAACAAGATATTACTGCAACATCCGTCAAGGCTATTTGCAACAGATGCCAGACGCCAATACAACTCGACGTGACATCAATAGGAGAACGTCACTTCTTCCTCTTGTTTGGAAGACAGACTCGCCTGCCTGTGGTTGTAGCTTTTGGTTATTGGCTCGATTATTTACAGACCGCCGTCATATACCTGGAATACTGCTGAGCACGGCGTTAAACAACCAACCAACCAACCATTTATCATAAGGTTAGGATCTGATATTTTAGTCTTGTAAACGATTATTTTAAAATTTTAATCGCATATATGGTGTACAGTATAATTTGCAGTATCATCCACATGGTATGCAATGTTGTAAATATAATATTTATTTAAGAATGTCATGATACATGAGTATATATTGTGATTAGCGATGAATTAAGTAACCCATTAGAATTTAATGTAATTCGCGTGTTAAGCTACCATATTGTTACAAGGTGCTCTCAGTAATTTATATGACCCGTGAAGATCCGGGCTAGAATACGTCTTCAGCAACCCATGCTTGTCGTAAATGGCGACTATGCTTGTCGTAAGAGGCGACTAACGGGATCGGGTGGTCAGGCTCGCTGACTTGGTTGATGATGGTCATCGATCCCAATTGTGTGGATCGATGCTCGTGATATCAATCACTGGATTGTCTGGTCCAGACTCCATTATTTACAGACCGCCGCCATATAGCTGGAATATGGCGTTAAACAACAAGCAAACAAAACAAAATCTTAGCTCATACAATAAATGACATCTTTGATTAAAAAAGTGTGATTGTCATCCATGTTTTTCTTTCAAAAGAGACGTGGATACATTCAAAGAGAACGTTTTCGACGTGTGTGTGTGAATGTGTGTGTGTGGTACTTGTCCGGAATAATCCCGTTTTTATAGTGCTAGCCCACTGAGATACCATGCCGCAATTTAACATGAACACCCCACTCAGACACCTTCTACTGACTCCGAGCCGACCAGTCCTTGTTTTACCCCCTTTCCGAGCAACAAGTATCATCTTTTAACTGCCTTTGGCATGGCGCAGACAGGGATCCAACCCCCGACCTTCCACTCTCCAGGCAGATGCTCAATCCACTTGATCATGTATGCGGCCCCACACGTAATGAAAAACTACAAAACATTTTCTTGGTACATTGACACCTGCACATAAGGAAAACGCCCCCTGTGCCAGAAGTCTGCAACATTTAATTGAGTACACTTCAATGCTCCCATAATAAATACATTTTATCAGTGATAAAGCAATTAAATCAATCATATACAACAACAATCTTTTAAAAACAAATAAATCTAGCCAACTAAAGCAGTGAATCCATTTCTCCTAAAACTAATTGTTCAACATATTTCGTCAATGTCCAAAAGCCATACACTTCTATCAACATAGCAATACTGGCTACAATTTCACACAGAGTGAAGTCATTTCATTTTGTTTCACAAATAGCCTTGTGAATATTGCACACACGGAACTGGGCCCACTTGCACAAAGCGATCTTAGCGCTAAGATGATCGTAACTCCCATACTTCAGCATAGGCTTACAACAGTCTTAGCGCTAAGATTGCTTTGTGCAAGTGGGCCCTGGTCTTGAAGACATCACATGGTTCCTGCAGTTGATTTGATAGTCTGTCACCTTTTCACAGTGCAACCTCTCCTCTGCGGAACCCGATGTCATAAGTGAGTGAGTTTTGTTAGCACTGCTTTCAACAGTATTACAGTCGTATCACAGCATGTCAGCTTGATGTGCGAGTGAGTGAGTTGTATTTTACACAGCATTTAGCAAAATTCCAGCAATCTTACAGTAGGGGGCAACACAAACAGGCTTCACTCAATGTACCCAAGTGGGGAATCGAACACTGGTCTTCCGCGTCACTGACCGTGAAGATCCCGGGTAGAATAGGTCTTCAAAAACCTATGCTAGCCGTAAACGGTGACTGCTTGTCGCAAGAGGCGACTACTGGATCGAGTGGTCAGGCTCGCTGACTTGGTTGATGCATGTCATCGAATCCGAAATGCGTGGATCGAGGCTCATGATATCAATCACTGGATCGTCTGGTCCAGACTCGATCATATAAAGACAGCCGTCATATAGCTGGAATATTGCTGGGCGTAACGATCGAACAATATAACCACTAGGCTACCCCACTTGATCTGGGATGAAAGCCCGACCTGATGAAGGTCACAGATAAACCTAGAAGTATACTTAGGGCTAATGTAGGATTCTAACCCATGATCATATGTTTCTGGCACTCTAAAACATGCAGCTCTGCACAGGACACTGCGCCTTACACAGCTCAGGAAGTAGACAGCTGGGGACTAATCCCTAGAGAACTACTGATGTTTTCTGCTAACCTAAAATGAGTGAGTGAGTGAGTGAGTTGGGTTTAACGCCGCTTTTAACATTATTTCAGTTATATCACAGCGTGTCAGCTTAATGTGGGAGGAAAGCCCGAAGTGATGCAGGTCTCAGACGTTTACCACTTCGGTGAAACCGACGAGCACAGGTATGGTGCTGACAAACCTAGAAACATAATCGGGGTGAACCGGGATTCGAACCCACAATCATAGGTTTCTGGCGTGTCCATGGGACGCAACTCAGCGAATCGCGGCGCCTTAGACGACTGGGCCACCCGTGCCCCAGCTAACCTAAAATGACACTTATATGGCAACTAAAGACACCATAACTAATAATGTTCGCACTATTGGTTACTGTTCATCAACCATCATTTTGGTACTCAGGGTCTTACATCTAATTTCCATTAAACACACAATCACACGACGAAAGTTGGTTGTTATCGAATAATAATCTTTGACCCAACTTAAAATATCAATTTTGTAATATTTCATGTCCGAATAAAAACATTTTCGTCATGGTTGTTGTGACCGTCATCATGGCTTTGAAGTGGTGGTTAGGAAGAGCCAATGGAACGTCTCACTACAATGACATAAAGTGTGTTAAACATGATTGCTGCATTAATGACACTAAGGCCACCTAAATATCTAGCCCGATGATGAGGGAATGTCTCAAAGACCTGTTTCACTGTTTTAACCTGATTTCCTGTAGCTTAACCTTGCGTAACATATTGTAACCATGGTAACCTGTTTTCTTGTAGTGCAAACAACTGTAACCATGGTAACCTGTCATTTTGTAGTTTAACCTAGTTACCATGGTGACCTGTTGTCTTGTTGTGTAGCCATGGTAACCTGTTGTTTAACCTGTTGTAACCATGGTAACCTGTTGTCTTGTAATTTAACCAACTGTAACCATGGTAACCTGTTGCATTTTTGTGAAACCTATTGTAACCATGTATTATTGTTAAACCTAGAGTATTCATGGTAACCTGTTGTCTTGTAATTTAATCTACTGTAACCATGATAACCTGCTTTTGTCTCTTTTCCGTTTCTGTCAGCGTGAGGGGTTTATTCACTTTTTTTTCTGAAGTATTTTAATTAATTTTGGACTTTGTTGAGGTCAGCAGAATCCATCAACCAATGTTTCTCAAAAGTCTGAAGGAAAATGACCCCATGCAAATTATTTCATCAATCTGGAAATTTGTAAATACGGACAGTTTCAACTGCAAGTCTACCATCCCAGCTGATGTGATTGCATTGTATGCCTACATATCACCATTTATATCACAGCAGCCGTTGTCTGTATACTAGTAACATTTAACAGAGAAAAATTAGCATAGTGTCTGGTCAAAAAATAACAATAACAATGTTCGTGCACCCGAAGCTCTACAATGTAGTTTCTTACTGTGCAATTACTCCAAAAATATTTCCCCCCCCCCCCCCCCCCCCCAAATACTGCATCCCCCAGAAGGGGAATAGTCATCCTCTTCTGTTTCATCACTGGATGCTGTCTTCTTGATTATACTTTATGTCTACACATATATATAGTATTGACTTAGATCGGTAGACCGGGTCTGTTCAGCTTCACGGATCAGCTACATCAAGACCAGGCCTCCACCTGGTAGCGCCTCTTGGCCTCCAACTGTGAGATGTACTCAGCAGCCTCCGCAGCGTTCCTCCCTCCTGCTGACATCACGACATCCTGAAGCGCCTCCTTCACATCATCCGGCATTCTCTTGGCGTTCCTGCAAATAGAGACCCTGTGTCATGTACATCCGGCATCCTCTTGGCGTTCCTGTAAACAGAGACCCTCCGTCATATACTTCCGGCATTCTCTTGGCGTTCCTGCAAACAGAGACCCTGTGTCATATACATCCGGCATCCTCTTGGCGTTCCTGTAAACAGAGACCCTCCGTCATATACTTCCGGCATTCTCTTGGCGTTCCTGCAAACAGAGACCCTGTGTCATATACATCCTGCATTCTCTTAGCTATCCTGCAAACAGAGACCCTGTGTCATGTACTTCCGGCATTCTCTTGGCGTTCCTGCAAACAGAGACCCTGTGTCATATACATCCTGCATTCTCTTAGCGTTCCTGCAAACAGAGACCCTGTGTCATGTACTTCCGGCATTTTCTTGGCGTTCCTGCAAACAGAGACCCTGTGTCATATACATCCTGCATTCTCTTGGCGTTCCTGCAAACAGAGACCCTGTGTCATGTACTTCCGGCATTTTCTTGGCGTTCCTGCAAACAGAGACCCTGTGTCATGTACTTCCGGCATTTTCTTGGCGTTCCTGCAAACAGAGACCCTGTGTCATATACATCCTGCATTCTCTTAGCATTCCTGCAAACAGAGACCCTGTGTCATGTACTTCCGGCATTCTCTTGGCGTTCCTGCAAACAGAGACCCTCCGTCATATACTTCCTGCATTCTCTTAGCGTTCCTGCAAACAGAGACCCTGTGTCATGTACTTCCGGCATTTTCTTGGCGTTCCTGCAAACAGAGACCCTGTGTCATATACATCCTGCATTCCCTTGGCGTTCCTGCAAACAGAGACCCTGTGTCATGTACTTCCGGCATTTTCTTGGCGTTCCTGCAAACAGAGACCCTGTGTCATGTACTTCCGGCATTTTCTTGGCGTTCCTGCACACAGAGAACCTGTGTCATGTACTTCCGGCATTTTCTTGGCGTTCCTGCAAACAGAGACCCTGTGTCATATACATCCTGCATTCTCTTAGCGTTCCTGCAAACAGAGACCCTGTGTCATATACATCCTGCATTCTCTTAGCGTTCCTGCAAACAGAGACCCTGTGTCATATACATCCTGCATTCTCTTGGCGTTCCTGCAAACAGAGACCCTGTGTCATATACATCCGGCATTCTCTTGGCGTTCCTGCAAACAGAGACCCTGTGTCATATACATCCAGCATTCTCTTGGCGTTCCTGCAAACAGAGACCCTGTGTCATGTACTTCCGGCATTCTCTTGGCGTTCCTGCAAACAGAGACACTGTGTCATATACATCCGGCATTCTCTTGGCGTTCCTGCAAACAGAGACCCTGTGTCATGGACCCTCAGACCAGTGTTGATTCATTGTTGAGATGGGCATATCGAAATTGTCATCCAAAAAGTGGAAAACCAAAGCAATACAAATAAATCAAGAAAATAAAACAAGAACCCCACCTATGGGCATTTTGAAATAATGACATGTATTCTCAAATAATCCTTTTTTCACGCCCACACTTAAAGACTCACCCCCACACCCCACACCCTATCTTCCCGAGGCAAGTGAGTTAACTGACTATAAAAGTCCAGTTTCCACCCTTGCCGAACTAGGCTGGTATTATGGAGTTACGTTTTGTCTGGGCTAACGAGTCTATGCATAGTCCAATCAAAATCGTGCAGCGAAATCGAAATCCGGTTCGTAAACTGTCGTGCAGATTTCGATCGATTGCAGGATTTGCAAAGCATGTGCATAGCCAATTCGTTGTCAGCAGATATTTTCCAAATCCGTTCATGTTTTTAATCAAGGTGCTAACGTGATTTGATGCATTTCGCGATGTAAGACCCGTTTTATCACAATATAGATCTTGATTATCGATCAGATCGTCCTGACTGGGCGCCACCTTTTTGTGTGAAGCAAACGCAACTGATACGAGAGGTGGAATCTGATTGGTCCATAGGAGAGGCTTAAAAGGGACATAATTGGTAATAGCCACTGGGGGCGCAACGGTCGAGCCCAGTAATTCAAGCCTAGTTCGGCAAGGGTGGAACTGGACTTTTAAAGTCAGTAAACTCTCTTGCCTCGGGAAGATGCCCACACCCCCACCCCATCAACTTCCTGATTTGAGTTGTTTTTTCTCACAATAAAATCCTAAAAGAAAAGTTTATTAATTAATGGTCTCACTCTTAATAATACAGTCAAGTCTGGTTAATCCCCATACTCGTTAATCCGACAATCGGCTTTATCCGACACTAATGATGGGAACCTATTAAATCAGTGCAAATTAGACTCTGACATTAATCGGACATTCTCACACTCCGACTCCGATCACAAACGGTGATACTACTTAATTTTGTTTATCCGACATACTCATAAAACCGACAGTATCATGTGAAACCAACCATGTCGGATTAATGGGACTCGACTGTATCTCACTGATATTTCAAAAGGGATATTAATTTTACCCAGCAATGTAGAACCAGGCCTGGTGGTTGTCAAGGAGATCCCAGATCAGCGCGGCGTTATCCCGGATACGGTGCTGGACGTACACCTTGTCCTCCTGGTCCCGGGAGAAGGCGGTCAGCACGTGCAGGAGGCCCCGCCCACTCAGCTCGGTCCACTCAGCACCACAGTAGTAGTCAGCGGACTGGCTACGACAGCCGAAGAACAACACGTTGCCTGAAACAGCAGCCAGACACGTTGGTTACCATGGTTACATGGTTGTAAAGGTTATGTTCTGACCATATTTTCTAGTGGCCTTTACGTTATCCGCTAACGGAGTTATCTCCCTTCGTATTCCACACAATATCACTTCCAGTTTGTTTGTATCCTTGCATTCGAGACCGCCTCCGTGGTCTTGTGGTAGAGCGTCCCCCCGGAGACCGGAAGGTCCAGGGTTCGATCCCCGACCGCGTCATATCAAAAGATGTTAAAAGATGGTACTTGTTGTTACCCTGTCTGGGACTCGGCATGTACATGCACGTGCATGCACATCGCTATATAAGCGCAATAATCTTGGACGCAACGTTAAACCCAATTTCACCTCACCTCACCTCCTTGCATTCGTTAAATTCTTTGTTGAGTTTGTGCATACATTCTGAGAAATCGTGAAGTAATGGTGTAACATATCAGGGCAGTTAGTTTGGGATAACAGTTGAGAGAAGAAGAGTGTGTTATAGAGGGCTGAACCGTCTGTGTCTCTGTGTGTGTGCTATTGTCAATTGTGTCCGTTGATTTCACTACAGACTTATACATACGTCTAATAAATGCATCGACTGTTTCATCCTGTGTTTCCTGTGTAATTCCTGTGTAATTCCTACAGAGTTGAGGAAACAAGAGGTGTGGTTCCATGGGCGGATACAGCTTTTTTGAAAAGGGGGGGGTGCACAATTAAGATCTATTTATTGTCTTTGGTGGTAATTTATACAGAAATAAAGATTTTTTTCGAAATAAAAAGGGGGGGTGCGCACCCCCGCACCCTCCTCTGTATCCGCCCATGGGTCCCTCTCAGGCCATCCATGTTATTTTTGTGTTTTACATGTTCCGCATCAGAAGAGATGTCGGGAAGTGAGAAAAAAAAAAAAAAAAAAAAAAAAAAAAGCACCTTTGCTTGAGAGTAGAGCCAAAATGGCTGTCTGTTACATGTTCAAAAATGTTCTAAAGTTTGAAATCTTGAGCTCTAGAGTTGGTAATACATTTGTACATTTTACAACTCATGACGTAATGGCTGTGTTTGTTGTGAGTACTGCTGGACTGAAGAACACAACAACTTAATCTTATTAAAATTAAATCTTAGTTCCCGCTATCGCTGAACAAAGCTCTGAGAACATCCCACTACGGGTCATGTCAGACCGACCAATCACAGCATCAGAAGAGGGATAGTCAGAATGTGTTTTCTAATCATACAACCTCAAAAAATAACCCAGGGTTATTCTGAACGACAGTTAAAGGCTTTTAGACTGAATTCATACAATCAGGTCATCTATTAGCCATTCCAGAATGTTCTGTTGTTCAGTTTTCAAAGTTTTAATCAAGAATTTCTCAAAATGTTTGGAAGTGTATTCAGTTTGAAACTAGTGCTGTAAAGTACGAGAAGGATGCCTTCTGATTGGCTAATGTCGACTTCTTGTCAGTCATTCCATTGTTCTGTCAAAGTTTCCGTCTTATCAATATTATTTTGCCTAAATGTTGTCATGCCACTGTCTTAGAAACAGGTTTCAGTTGGAACTATATTGACTGTTGTCACTGTCCGACTGACACATCACTTACCCTCTGGCTAATATTAGAGTGAGTAAGTTGGGTTTAACGCCGCTTTTAACAGTATTCCAGTTATATCACGGCGTGTCAGCTTAATGTGGGAGGAAAGTCCGAAGTGATGCAGGTCTCAGACATTTACCACTTCGGTGAAACCCACAAGCATGGGTATGGTGCTGACAAACCTAGAAACATAATTGGGGTGAACCGGGATTCGAACCCACAATCATAGGTTTCTGGCGTGCCCAAGGGACGCAACTCTGCACAGCGAATCGCGGCGCCTTAGACGACTGGCCACCCGTGCTCCAAAATAATATTAGAAGTTTTAGCAGGATCACTCGGGGTACATAGGTTTATACCATGAGACAGAGGCGGAAGATTTAAAACCTAACACAGGACGCATTGAACCCCATGTTTTCCTCGTGATCCTGCTACAACGAATCTATCTTACTGACATGATATAATGTGACACTGTAAAAGAATTAAAACAAATTCAAAATTTACCAAGACATTGACAAACATTCATTTTCATTCCACACTGATAGATAACCTATTTACACAGCGTCAACATCTCTTTAAGAAATAAACGACTTGTGGTCGTTCATCTTACAATAAAACACAGCAGGGAGAATACACCATGAGGGACTGTACATTTTGTACAGCCTTTTTAAGGATGTCAATAAACTGTACAAGCTTCAGAAACATTCACCTGTATTTAAAGAATGTTGACTCACCGAAGACACTCCAACCTCGGCAATGTCGGCCAACTCCATTTTATGAACAGGAACCTGTTCCACAAAGCAATCTTAGTGCTAAGTTGGTCATAACTCCCATACTTTATCATAGGCTTACGATCAACGTAGCACTAAGATCGCTTTGTGGAACAGGCCCTGTGGGTTTAGTTTGCTATTCTCAAAATTTTCACGTCAAATATTTGCACCTTTTCTCCCAATGCCTATTGTCATATCTCTCCCACTTTTGGATTGATCCTTCGGTCTTTGCGTTCATCTGCACTGTCCAGCTACACCTATGGGGAACAACTCACTACACACTTCCCCCTGAAAAAAAAACGTCCTATTTACGAGCGAGTGCATATTCGATCTCCCGAAATGACGTCATGATAGAACAATGTCTTATCGTGAAATAAACCACGCTTCGATTTCATTGTTGTTTGTGATTCATCGACTAGCTATCTTACACAGGGTATTAACTACACCATGTAGATCTAGACAGAGTCATGAACAGAGGAGAACCATTCTTTCCATGGCTCTAAACAAACATCGGTCACCAACATTCAAAGACTTAAATTGCACAGCATGTTAAGGTGGACGTTTTGACCAGCAATAAGGTCCTAATAAAAGACACAAGACCTCGTATGCAGGTTAGGTGAAGTGGGGTTTAACATCGCGTCCAAGATTATTGCATTTATAAAGAGACGTGCATGCAGGTGTGTGTGTGTGTGTGGCTGCTTGTACTAGTCCAGACTGATGCCGATTTATAGTGCTAGCTCACTGAGATACCATGCTGCAGTTTAACATGAATACCCCACTCAGACACAGTATACTGACTCCAAGCCGACCAGTCCTTGTTTTAGCCCATTAATGCCGAGCGCCAGACAGGGTAACAACAAGTACCATCTTTTAACGTCTTTAGGTATGACGCGGTCGGGGATCAAACCCCAGACCTTCCACTCTCTGGGCGGACGCTCTACCGCTAGACCACGGAGGCAGTCCTTTTCGTATGCAGAGTGACAAGACCCACCTCCAGCATTGTTGGCTGCTCGGTCGTGGATGAAGCTTCTGAACGGCGCCACCCCCGTCCCTGGAACACAGACAGGTAACTGTGAGCGTTGCAACATTCTGTTGGTGGTGTCAGGATAAAAAGTAAAATAATCAACCCCCTGAAAACAAATAGCATTGACAAAGTAGTCACAATGTATAGATAACAACTTCTTTATTTTACTGTAATGGTGACATTTCCCTATAGATCTTTATATACTGATAAGCAAAGACAACGGTATAAGGATCTATGCCAAAACGCCGCCATTACAGTAAAATAAAGAAGTTGTCATCCTTACATTCAGTACACTTGGTCATCTGTCAACTATTAAGAAATGCCTATCAAATAATTCAAATAGATATGGCTTGCAATGTAGGGAAAGGACAATGTGGCCTTTTCTTGCAGACCATGTGTCATTATTTTCATATATTTGAATAATCATAAATGATCTAAACATTAAGTAAAAAATGCTCATCCCAAACCAAAATCTCAGCCCCTCCCCTGAAAATCAAGTGGGTGATCCCTATGTCCTGTTCTCAAGACATAAATATCATGATCATCAATAAATGTAAAACGTTTAACCAACATGCTTTAACGACAGCTTCAACAGCTGATGTTAGAATAATGATGTGCTGAACAGGCCTCAAATTCCTGATGGCCAAGAACATTCTGGTTCTGCCTGTTTCAGTGGTAAACATGTCAAACATTCTTGAACAAGCTGGTGTCTGTAGTGAGTTGGGGAAGTGTACGTCCCTCTCTTCACCAGATTACACTGTAGACTACTAACCTGGTGCCACCATGATGGCCGGTGTCTGTAGTCAGGTGGGGAAGTGTACGTCCCTCTCTTCACCAGATTACACTGTAGACTACTAACCTGGTGCCACCATGATGGCCGGTGTCTGTAGTGAGGTGGGGAAGTGTACGTCCCTCTCTTCACCAGATTACACTGTAGACTACTAACCTGGTCCCACCATGATGGCCGGTGTCTGTAGTGAGGTGGGGAAGTGTACGTCCCTCTCTTCACCAGATTACACTGTAGACTACTAACCTGGTGCCACCATGATGGCCGGTGTCTGTAGTCAGGTGGGGAAGTGTACGTCCCTCTCTTCACCAGATTACACTGTAGACTACTAACCTGGTCCCACCATGATGGCCGGTGTCTGTAGTCAGGTGGGGAAGTGTACGTCCTTCTCTTCACCAGATTACACTGCAGACTACTAACCTGGTGCCACCATGATGGCCGGTGTCTGTAGTCAGGTGGGGAAGTGTACGTCCCTCTCTTCACCAGATTACACTGTAGACTACTAACCTGGTGCCACCATGATGGCCGGTGTCTGTAGTCAGGTGGGGAAGTGTACGTGCCTCTCTTCACCAGATAACACTGTAGACTACTAACCTGCTCCCACCATGATGGCCGGTGTCTGTAGTGAGGTGGGGAAGTGTACGTCCCTCTCTTCACCAGATTACACTGTAGACTACTAACCTGGTGCCACCATGATGGCCGGTGTCTGTAGTCAGGTGGGGAAGTGTACGTCCCTCTCTTCACCAGATAACACTGTAGACTACTAACCTGGTCCCACCATGATGGCTGGTGTCTGTAGTGAGGTGGGGAAGTGTATAGTTCCTCTCTTCACCCATACCGGGATGGTCACATCTAGGTCGGCCTTGAGAGAAGCCAGCCATGTTGAACACACTCCCCTTCGTGGCTTGAACAGCTTCGTCTTATATTGAACCACAGCAACTAGCATGTGAATTTCATTTGGCATTGCCTGAAACAGTCATCAAATAAATGTTGCTAAGAGCGGCGTAAATGTGTTTGAAATTCACCGGCATTAAAACATATTCTGCTTCGCACGAAAAATGAAATATCCAGATATTTTCTTGGAGGTCGATGGCCCACGTCGTCAGTGGACGAGTCAATCATTATTTATCATCACTTTGATTCCTAATGGCTGAAATAGCACAGTAGCTCACTAGGATACTGTAAAACGTGAAATTAATGTCTCCAAAAGAATGCGACTGCTGGTCCCTAGCCAAGAATGCAACTCCATATGAATGCGACACCCCCTCCTCTCAAGCATCAGTGGATTTATATCAAAAGAAAACGTCCTCTATCAGGATTACAGGAGAATCCTCATCTAATCCAACCTTACATTAATCCAATCACACACCAAATAGCACCGCTTATTAGCACTGAGTAGAGTACTACCGCTAAAACAATACATGCATGCTGGCTCGTGTCGGCCTTTGACGCAGTCGCAAAGACAAAGTGTTGCGTGGGTGGTGTCTGTCTGGACTTGCAGGTGTGATCAGTGATGACATAAGTGAGTAGAACTCTTGTCTTGACCCCAGCAGTGACAATTCACAGGATGTAATTAGTGTTTGAATGACATTATTTATATACTTGTAACAAGTGCTGCTCAATAAACAGTGATGTGGAATACATAGTTGTTTGTTTTCAGCGTATATCTAAGTTGGTATTTCTGCTATACGAAATGTCTTATTGTTGATATAAATGGATGTTTGATAATGTGGTGAATCGAACCGTATCCATTCATGAATTGAATTCGTTATTCGTGGTCACTAGAATCGAATATTCATGAATATGCAGTCATGTGAATTTACATACCCTGACCCTTAAAATATCCATAAGAACATATTATATGCATAGATTTCTTGAGTGACAGTATTTTAGTCACTGGTCATTGTTGCATTTGAGCAGACACTAGTACCTGGATAAGTGAAGTATATTAATGTATAATGAATTGATAATTAACAAACCATGTCAAATAATTTATTTTGTTATTGTTTCACTGAATATCATTAATAAATCATCAACTGCTGACTGGTTATTATTCATGAATAAATATTCGTATTTGTTACCCTACATTCATTATACGAATCGTATTCGCCTCATAGTGTATTCGCTGCAGCCCTACTATTTAGTTTACACAAACATTCAACTCTGAGTATTATAAGGAGAATAATGTTTCTAATGTCCTACAATTTTTCCAATTATTTCAATAAATACACAAAAATCCTAACATAATGTTTGCTTGTTTTTTGTTTAACACTGCACTCATCATTACTCCAGCTAAATGACAGCAGTCTGTAAAGATCAAAGTCTAGCCAGACATCCAGTGATTGACATCATGGTCATCGATCTATACAGTTGGGATGCAATGACATGCATCAACTAAGTCAACGAGCCTGACCTCCTGATCCCGTTAGTCGCCTCTTACAACAAGCATAGCCACCTCATACGGCAAGCATGAAGCTGAAGGCCTATTTTAACCTGGGTCTTGATGTCATCATTAGAGAATCCCATATGCCAAAGTCCAGCCACCTCAGTCTACTAGTATAAGAGATGATGACAACCACTTGAATAGCCAGGTGAGCTCTACATGCATACACTCCGGCACAAGGGGTAGCCTAGTTGTTGAAGCGTTCGCTCATCACGCCAAAGACCCGGGTTCAATTCCCGACATGGGTACAATATGTGAAGCCTATCTCTGGTGTCCCCCGCTGTGGTATTGCTGGAATATTGCTAAAAGCGGCATAAAACCATACTCACACTCACTACACTCCAGCACATATCCTGACCCAGTTTACAATTTCTCCATGGGTATTCTGAAGTAGGAGAGTTCCCCAGCCTCCGAATCATGTTGAAAAAGATGAATAAAGATGCAAGGGTGGTTAGCTTCTGTTTTTGGTTTTGGTTTGTTGTTTAACGCCGCACTCAGCAATATTCCAGCTATATGACGGCGGTCTGTAAATAATTGAGTCTGGACCAGACAATCCAGTGATTAATATCATGAGCATCGATCCACGCAATTGGGTTCGATGACATGCATCAACCAAGTCAGTGAGCCTGACCACCCGATCCTGTTAGTCGCCTTTTACGACAAGCATAGTCGCCTTTTACGGCAAGCATGAGTTGCTGAAGACCTATTCTACCCAAGAATCTTCACGGGTCTAGCTTCTGTTACATGGATGCAGTTATTGCATCCTGCTCCAATGGTGTGCATCAATGCTCACGGTTTGCTGGCCTGCATCGTTCAAGAACACTATCACACCCACCTGTTGTGATGATGCAATGGAGAAAGCTCTTGGCTGCAGTGGTGGAATCAAGTCCAGTAAATACTCAAATTTTATCTGACTGCTTGTCTGTGGGAAATCTTGTAAAACCTGCAAATATAGAAAAGACTTTCTATTTCATCTGGAACAATCACATCATTCTAGTTTGTCCAAACGCTTTAATCACTAGTCAACTCCACAGGCCCACTAGTTAATCAAGCTTGTTGTAAGAGGCGACTAGCGGGATTGGGATGTCATTATATCCCAATTGTGTGCATCGATGCTCATGATATCAATCACTGGACAGTCTAGACTTGATTATTTACAGACCGCCGTCATGTAGCTGGAATATTGCTGAGTGCGGCGTTTTAACAACAAACGCGAACAATGGCCAGACCAAGAGTGGACAAGCGCTGCAGACTGGAGTACCCCCCATTCCCCATTCAAACAATGCAGGCGGCAGACAGCAGGGGTATGGGTCCCCAAGTTAAGCTAGCTTTGAAATTTCATAATTAAAGACTGTTAATAATTATTATTGGACCAGACCAATTTGATTACTTGTTTTACGGATTCTTATTACCTAAATACCAGAAAATAAAAAACATAAATGAAAAACATTTTTTATAAACACACGCAAAAATATGATTTAAATTATTATCAAAGTCTTGTTTCCACCCTTGCCACATCAAGCCCACTTTTCTGTGCTAAGCATGATTGGAGTATCGCACATATCGACAGTCCAATCAGAGAACGTTTCACAAAATCAACATCCACGATTGGTACACCTTCGTATGAAAGTGATTTACCACTGTCTGTCTTTGTTGGCTCGAACATGTTTTTTCTCTTTAAACCCAACGATTGCCTATGTTTTTTGTGTCAAGAATGAAATCATGAATGTTTTCGTCATCAAATCGACTAGGTCGTCGCATACCATAGTCGCCATCTTTGTGAAGCCATACGAGATGAAAGCAGCATTCTGATTGGATATCACGTTTTCAACACAAGAAGCACAACTTCTGATCTACACGAGGTTGGAACCAGGGTCAAGCAAAGAAAAGTGGCCTTGATGTGGCAAGGGTAGAAATTAAGCTTTGGACATGCTTGCCCCGGGAAGATGGTTTGCAATACACCCCCATCTTTTGGGGCTCATTTTCTGGGGGGAAAATACTATTATTTTTTGGTGCTTCATGTGAAGCGTTTACTGGATAGTTCATGACAGAACAACATCGTCAGACTGTCAATGTAACTGAAACATGCTCGATTATTTCCGTATACAGATTTTTTGTCGAGAAAACTGGCTCAAATGTGCCAGCAAATATGTAAAACAATTAACTGTGTTGTAGGGCTGGGACGGGTAACTCGGGTACTCGGGTTTGGGTGGGTCCTGAGTAGGACCCGGGTACCCACATGACTACCAGGACCCGTGGTTAGTCAGGTGACATACTGTTTAATGACATTAACAATAAAACCCGATGGTTACACTACAAGTATAGCTAATGTTCACATTTCTTTCTCTCTATGCAGGCATTCGTTCTGACTTTTATATGTTCAATTAAGGATAAAGCGTCTATCAACTGCAGATTATACATGATCAGATTGTTTTATACATGTATCTAAATAGTTTTTGCCAGGGCTGCGGTAAAACAATTCCCATTCGGACATTTTGTACCCAACTCTAGAGACCTATAGCAGGTATCCGGGTAGGGCCGGGTAATAGGGTGGCAGGTACCGGGGTAGTAAATTTGGACTCGTCCCAGCCCTACTGTGTTGATCTGGCCTTGATCAACAATGTAAAGAAGACTTGCCTCCAGCGTGGTCCGTCGGGGGCGGTTGCAGTACGTGTAGAGCTCCTCCTGGGGACACAAGTGAGTCAGTCAGTCAGTTGGATTTTCATCTCATTAAATTCAGATCTTAGTTCTCACTATTGCTTAACAAAGATCTGAGGACATCCAACAGGTCACAAATTTTTCTGCGCAAGTTCTGCACAAAATGTGTTTTTCTGCAAGGTCCATTTCCACGGAATACAGAGGGGACTGCATGATGACCAATCTCATTAAAATCAGATCTTAGTTCTCACTATTGCTAAACAAAGATCTGAGGACATCCCATTACAGGTCACGTATGAACGACCTTTCATCCGATCAATCAAAGCGGCGCTTACCGGATCATGAAAGTGACAGTCGGAATGTGTTTTCTAATCATGCAACCTCGAAAACGTCAACGCGGTGTATTCCGACTGACAGTTACGTCCCGTCAAGATTATCGTCCATCTCTCGCTTCCGTGGGATAAACATTTGAAAGGAGGAGGCATTGCACAGTACATTGGAAGCACTGCCATACAATCTAAACCATATATTAGACATTCCGGAATGTTCGTTTGTTCAGTTTTCAAAATTTTAATCGAGAACTGTGTCAATATATTTTTCAAGCCTAGTCTGAAATGAAAGTCACCAGGTTGAAACGAGTGCCGTAAAGCTCGAGAATGCTGCTTTCTAATTGGCTGATGTCGACTTCATGTTAGTCATTTCAGTGGTTGGTCAAAGTTCGCGAAAGGTCATTCTGACGTGACCCATAATGGGGCGTCGTCAGATATTTGTTTAGCGGCGGAGAACTTAGGTCTGATTTTAATGAGATCAGTTTGATTTTACACATGCTTTGCAAATACTGCAAATGGCCAAAATCTGCATCACGGTTTATGAACAGGATTTTGATTTCATTCCGCGATTTTGTTTGGACTATGCATAGACTCGTTAGTCCAGCCAAAATGTATTCCATAATACCAGCCTAGTTCGGCAAAGGTGGAAACGAGGTCTTCAGCAACCTATGCTTGCCGTAAAAGGTGACTATGCTTGTCGTAATATTATCATTATCATATTGTCATTATATCCCAATTGCGTGGATCGATGCTCATGATGTCAATCACTGGATTGTCTGGTCCAGACTTGATTATTTACAGACCACCATCCTATAGCTGGAATATTGTGGAGTGCGGCGTTAAATAACAAACAAAGACAAAAAGACAGCCTACCTCCTGCAATGTATTGTTTAAGCTACAAATTAAAGCGACACAGCCTGGATATCAAACCACAAAGTTACAGATTCTCATGTACTCCGACAGTACTGCCTGAAATGACCATGCAGCATATTTTGTGTTGTCTTTAGTTTCATACATATTTATTGGTTTATCGTAACTTTCAAGCTGTGAAGACCTGGGTTAGAATAGGTCTTCAGCAACCCTTAATACCATAAGAGGTGACTATGCTTGTCTTAAGAGGCGACTAACGGGATTTGGTGGTCAGGCTCGCTGACTTGCTTGATGAATGTCGACGTATCTCAATAACTTAGATAAATTCCAATGATGTCAATCAATGGATTGTCTGGTCCAGACTCAATTATTTACAGACCATCATCATATAGCTGGAATATTGCTGAGTGCAGCGTTATGTAACAACAACAAAAATTAAATCTGATTATGTAGTATCTTGTTACCATGGTTACTTTGATTCTGTATTTTAAGTCAGCTAACGCATACATAGCTGGACATTCATTACAAGTAATGCTCTCCAGCTTCACTGGGCTGTACATCGTTACAAGTTACCATGGTTACACGTGCACTATCCTTCACTGTCTTTCCCTACAACTAAAGACTATCAAAGTGCACAAATCACCCCTGCTCAAAGAGGATGCCCCGACGTACCTGTCCTTCTGCTGAGGAGAACTCCTGCAGTTTTTCCTTCTCCAGTTCATCTGTAGACAGAAGCGACAGAAGCTCGAAGAAATACCTGCGTGGTATTCCCCCGATATCCAAATATTTCTTCACAAGATGGCCGACACTACAGCAGTGAGGCAGGGAGGGTGGAAGTGGAATGTCTGGAGATAATGAGAGAGCAATTGATGGGTTTGCTGACTCACAGAAAATGACTGCGATAATATTGAGAGTATAAGATCAGTCTAAATTATAACTGTAAAGGTTTAACATTCAAACAATGAAATTCTGTTTCGCATTAATTAAATTTACTGCCTATTGTAAATTGTTCTATTACTGACTTAAATGATTTCAATGCCCATTCTCATTCATTATGCAATGGTTACTGGCTAAAAATACTGAAAAATGGCCAGGGTTTGATTTACCAGTTTTTTGTTGTTGTTTTTTGTTTGTTTGTTTTGGGTTTTTTTTTGGTGTGTGTGTGTTGGGGTTGGGATATTGGGGGTCCTGGGGACTTAAAGCCTTTAATTTTGGAGGTCTCAGGTTACAAATTGGGGTCTCAAGCTTCAGAAATGGACATCCCATAGACATTTTAAAAAAAACAACAGAAAATTTTGGATACAGTATTCTTACACAAGTGATGTAAGATTGTGCATCAGAACTATAGACAGGCAGCATATTTACGTAAAATACCCCTCCAAAATATTCAAAATCCAATAACTTTTAATAACTTACGTACAGAAATGCATGCATTAAATGAAAAACTCAAATGTATAAAAACAGCACGTGCAAATACCCTATGAGGTTTTTTCAGCATGCTTACAAAGGAGCTAATTTCCGAAACACAATTATGAGCTAATTTACTTTCCAAGTCAAGCCTATATATTTAGACCAGTTAAGACATCTAAATTATTATTTCATTTTTTTCAAATCTTAAAAGGTTCACTAATTTTGGGGAAAACCCAACAGAGTGATGATTGGATGAGTGAAAATATTGGTTACCCACTGGAAATTGTAATAACCCAATTAAAATAGAAACCCTAGAGCAAAAACTCAATTGCTCAAAAAGTTGTCTGGAGCTCTTTGGAATTGTATGCTCTGAGGCAGTGAGATATTGAATTCCCCAGCTGGAATGAATCGACAAGAGCTAGCAATCGATGATCAAAAAGCATTTGCCTGCCTGTCATACATTATCAAATATTTAGGTGCGGAAATTTATACCTATTTATGAAATAGAACCATTCATTCCTAAACATAAATTTGAGGTGTCCCTGTGGATCCACTCAATCTCATTAAAATCAGATCTTAGTTCTCGCTACCGCTAAACATCCCATTAGGGGTCACGTCAGAACGACCTTTCATCCAACCAATCAGAGCGTCGCTCACCATATCAAGAATTTAGAAAGTAACAGTCGGAATGTGTTTTCTAATCATGCAACCATAAAATATTTAACACAGGGTATTCTGAATGACAGTTACAGCTTTTATGATGATATCCATACAATCTAGGCCATCTATAAGCCATTCCAGAATGTTCTTCTTATCAGTTTTAATCTTTTTAATCAAGAATACGTCAAAATATGTTTTGAAGCGTAGTCACCAGTTTGAAACAAGTGTTGTAAAGCTCGAGAAAGCTGACTTCTGATTGGCTAATGTCAATTTCTTGTCAGCCATTTCATTGGTCGGTCAAAATTCGAGAAAGGTCGTTCTGACGTGACCTGTAATGGGATGTCCTCAGATCTTTGTTTAGCGGCAGCGAAAACTAAGATCTGATTTTAATGACATTGATCACAAAACACACAGACAATAGCTCGTTGTCACATACCGGAATCATTTTGCTCCAGCGTGAATTCTTTGTCTGGATCCAGATTAAAATGTTGAAGAAACTCTTCCACCATGTCAGGCAGATTTTCAGGATGAACCATCACGACATCACCTGGTGCATAGCTGCAGTCAAACAAGTCATACATCACCTGGTGCATAGCTGCAGTCAAACATCACCTGGTGTATAGCTGTAGTCAAACAAGTCATACATCACCTGGTGCATAGCTGCAGTCAAACAAGTCATACATCACCTGGTGCATAGCTGCAGTCAAACAAGTTATACATCACAAAGTGTATAGCTGCAGTCAAACAAGTCATACATCACCTGGTGCATAGCTGCAGTCAAACAAGTCATACATCACCTGGTGCATAGCTGCAGTCAAACAAGTCATACATCACCTGGTGTATAGCTGCAGTCAAACAAGTCATACATCACCTATTGTATAGCTGCAGTCAAACAAGTCATACATCACCTTGTGCATAGCTCCAGTCAAACAAGTCATATGTCACCTAGTGTATAGCTGCAGTCAAACAAGTCATACATCACCTGATGTATAGCTGCAGTCAAACAAGTCATACATCACCTGGTGCATAGCTGTGGTCAAACAGTCAAACAGGTTACAGAAATAATTCTTAAGGGCATCAAACATCCTACCTGTCTCCCCAGGTTTGGGGCGCTGTAAGGCTTAAATAATGCAAATGCGACATAAAATTTTAACTCCCCAAGTTTGGCCTAATTAATCTTGGACCAGGTGAGCTAATAATCTGAGAAAAAATGAACAGAGTACCTTATTCCTGAGTCAGTGATATCCAGCTTAACATGGCGGACATCTTGGAAGTGACCAGGGGCAGTAACTCTCTCATTAGAAAGCAGACGGGCCATGTACGGATCTGTTGCCGAGTATGTGTGATTGTCTACACCCAGGCTTCCATTCATACTGCTGGAGTTTCCCTGACAGAAGGTAACCCTATATCTAGGGGCGGGGCTGAAAGACAATGAAAGTTTTTACATCAGAATGGCTTCCGACATCGTAATAGAGGCAATCTAAAATGTTCCAGTCATTGTAAACTTAATTATTTTATTTCATATGAATTATGTTTATTTGAATAATTCCAACGGGTCTTCAGATGAGGTGAGGTGAAACGGGGTTCAACGTCGCGTCCAAGAATATTGTACTCATAGCGACGTGAATGCATGTGTGTGTGGTGTGGTTTGCTGTGGTGTGGTTTGCTGTGGCGTGGTTTGCTGTGGCGTGGCGTGGCGTGTGTGTGAGTGTGTTTCTGCTTGTACTAGTCCGTACTGATGCCGATTTAGAGTGATGACGACATCCCATTACGGGTCATGTCAGAACGACTTTTCGCGAAGTCGACGTCAGCCAATGAGAAAGCAGCTTTCTCAAGCTTTACAGCACTCGTTTCAACCTGGCGGCTTCCATTTCAGACCACGCTTGAAAAGTATGTTGACACAGTTGTCGATTAAAATTTTGAAAACTGATCAAACAAACATTCCGGGATGTCTTATATATGGTAGAGATTGTATGGCAGTGCTTCCCATGTACTGTGCAACGCCTCCTCCGTTCAAATGTTTATCGTACGGAAGCAAGAGACAGACGATAATTTTGACAGAATCAGTCGTACGGGCTGTAACTGTCATTTGGAATACACCATTGAACGTTTTTGTAGTTGCACGATTAGAAAACACATTCCGACTGTCACTTCCATGACGCTTTGATTGGTTGGATGAAAGGTCGTTCTGACGTGACCCGTAATGGGATGTCCTCAGAACTTTGCTTAGCAATAGAGAGAACTAAGATCTGATTTTAATGAGATTGGTCATCATGCAGTCTCCTCTGTATTCCGCGGAATATTTTGCAGATGTGATGTGCCCACTTGGTGCAGAAATGGACCTTGCAGAAAAACACATTTTGTGCAGAACTCGCGCAGAATTTTGCGTTTATCTGCCGCAGAATCCACCAAATACACTGTAGAATTTTAATCTGTGACGTTAAAGCTGGTCTTATATGTATAAACAGATATTTATTTTATTTTGAAGTTAAGTTGACTTTTGTATTATTGCTGACTGAAAGTGCATGTGTGTTTGTTTACACTTGAGATCTCCAGAATCACTTCAATAAGCTGTTCTCCCCATGGATACATTTATCATACAAATACCTGAAACAGGTGCAAAAATATGAATTTTAATGAAAACTTAGCTCAAAAGTTTGCAGAATGATGTGCAGAATTATTAAGATTTGGTAGCAGAATTTACAAAAATTGGCCACAGAATTGGGGGGTGGGATGGGGTGGGGGTGCACGGAAGGCAGCAGGGACTGATCATGAAATGTATCGTGAGGTAGACGTATCATGACAAGGTATTACCAGATGTCAGCACTGATGATCTCAGCCCCAGGCGGCAGTGGCCAAAGGTCCAGAACTTTCTTCCACAGTGATGTCAACCACGGGTCAATGACAGCATCTGGCCTGAAAAAAAACAGGCATCATTCACAAACAATACAACTCTAGAGCCCCACCTGCAACCTCAAACAATTACAGTGGACTCCTGTGTGGCCAAACAAGTACAGTGGGCTCTTGTAAGACCAAACAATTACAGTGGACTCCTGTGTGGCCAAACAAGTACAGTGGACTCCTGTGTGGCCAAACAAGTACAGTGGACTCCTGTGTGGCCAAACAAGTACAGTGGACTCCTGTGTGGCCAAACAAGTACAGTGGACTCCTGAGAGGCCAAACAAGTACAGTGGACTCCTGTGTGGCCAAACAAGTACACTGGACTCCTGTGTGGCCAAACAAGTACAGTGGACTCCTGTGTGGCCAAACAAGTACACTGGACTCCTGTGTGGCCAAACAAGTACAGTGGACTCCTGAGAGGCCAAACAAGTACAATGGACTCCTGTGTGGCCAAACAAGTACACTGGACTCCTGTGTGGCCAAACAAGTACAGTGGACTCCTGTGTGGCCAAACAAGTACAGTGGACTCCTGAGAGGCCAAACAAGTACAGTGGACTCCTGTGTGGCCAAACAAGTACACTGGACTCCTGTGTGGCCAAACAAGTACACTGGACTCCTGTGTGGCCAAACAAGTACACTGGACTCCTGTGTGGCAAAACAAGTACACTGGACTCCTGAGAGGCCAAACAAGTACAGTGGACTCCTGTGTGGCCAAACAAGTACAGTGGACTCCTGTGTGGCCAAACAAGTACAGTGGACTCCTATGTGGCCAAACAAGTACAGTGGACTCCTGTGTGGCCAAACAAGTACACTGGACTCCTGTGTGGCCAAACAAGTACACTTGACTCCTGTGAGGCCAAACAAGTACAGTGGACTCCTGTGTGGCCAAACAAGTACACTGGACTCCTGTGTGGCCAAACAAGTACAGTGGACTCCTGTGTGGCCAAACAAGTACACTGGACTCCTGTGTGGCCAAACAGGTACACTGGACTCCTGTGTGGCCAAACAAGCACAGTGGACTCCCGAGAGGCCAAACAAGTACAGTGGGCTCAATGAAATTTGAGTTTAGTTATGTAACCATGGTAAAATATGAAGAAAATGACACAATGTTTGTCTGTTTTTGTCAAACGCTGCACTCAGCAATATTCCAGCCATATGATTGCTGCCTGTAAATAATCAAATCTGGACCAGACAATCCAGAGATTGACATTATGAGCACTGACCCAAGCCATCAGGGAATTATGACATGCCATCAACCAAGTTACAAAACACAACAGATCCTGGTACGGCTAGGGGACATAACTCCGTTCAGTATGGCTGCAGGGTCTACATGGGCTACACAGCAGCCTAGGAACTTACCCCAGCTCATGCTGGTCATCGGCAAGGCCCACACTGACCAGGGACTGACCTGACAGCTGGAGCAGGCGGCGGTACAGCTTCTTGCCAACCACATTGAACCTGGAATAAACTTCAATTGGTTAGACATACTTTGACTTAAATAGAGGAAACAGAGCACATCTGAAAGGCACTATGGTGGCACATGGTCCTTGTACAGCACACACGCCTCAAACCAGGCATTTATTGCCTAAAACTGCAAGAAAACACAATTTAAAAAACTTTGGAAAAATATACACTGTACGTCATCAAAGCCCTTCTGAGAGCTCGGGACATATGGTCACTTTGATGTGTAAAGCTATATTGTCATTAGGGCTGGGCTGGGTACTTGGGTCGGGTGGGTACTGAGTAGGAGCTGGGTACCCACAGGACTACCCGGAACCGTGGTTAGTCACATGATATATTCTTTTATGATAAAAATGATCTAGAACTCTATGGTTACACTACAATTCATGTTCACATTTCTTTCTGACTGTACACGCATTCCTTCTGACTTCATGTTCAGTGTATGCATGACCAGATCGTTTTATACGTGTATTTAAATACATTTTGCCAGGGCTACAGTGAAACTATTCCCAAGCGGACATTTTATAACCCATTTCTGAGTGGAGTGGATTTGAGTGGATTTGAGTGGATTGGATTGGATTGGATTGGAGTGGAGTGGAGTGGAGTGGAGTGGAGTGGAGTGGAGTGGAGTGGAGTGAGTGAGTTAAAATAACAGGAAGCTGAAAGGCAATAAAATAATTGAACCAATAACAGTTCACTGATTGGTATGCAGAGAAGGTGTCAACAAACTTGACACAAGTTTGTTTGTTTGTTTGTTACTTAATGCTGCACTCAGCAATATTCCAGCCATATGACGATGATCTGTAAATAATCGCGTCTGGACGAGACAATCCAGTGATTGACATCATGAGCATCGCTCTACGCAATTGGGATCAATGACATGCATCAACCAAGTCAGCAAGCCTGTCCACCCGATCCTGTAAGTCGCCTTTCACGACAAGCATGATGTTAATTGTCTGCATGACAGCTTATGAACCGAACGCGATTTTGATTGGAGCAAAAACTATTTTTAAAATTCTTGTCAACAATAATAACTTCACAGACTAATTATTTAATGATCAACACAGACATACTAGTCCAAGAGATGGGAGTGATTTATTTCATCCAAGAGGTCCATACAAGTTAAAGCTTGTTTTGAAGACAAAAAAGGCTGAATTTTCCAAAAATGTTTGTCTTACAAAAATCTGATGGTCCTTTTTCACACTAGGTGGCGCTGAAGTCAACACTTTTTTGGTATTATACCTCTGACAGGTAAATGAATGTTTTCATCAAAACTAATAGTTTTTTCTTTTAATATTTGGTGTCAAAATACAGAGAATACAGCAACCTACAATGTCATACACAAAAATTACACGTTCAAATACATTTCCGGTGCAATAATACTTATTTGGCATAACAAAGTGAAAAAATAATCAGTATTGACACTTTTCGATCATTTTCCTTCCTTCACATTAAAAGGCAACATTGCATACATTGTAGACAACAGAACACAATCAATGACTTCATTCAACTCAATAATGCAACACAAGCCCCGCCCATTTTGTAATCAACCAATCAAGAAACAGTACTCTGTTAGTGGGCGTGGCCTAATTTTGTCTGCTTATGGAAACATAAACACATACAAAAATGCTTGATCAGTCAATGAAATGCCACAGAATCACATGCAATATAAATATTAAATCCTACTGACTTACTTCTGATAGGAGGAATCGCCAAGCCCCAGCACGGCGAAGTGAACTTGACCAAGGGAGCCTGCAGGCAGGTTCTTTCGCAGGATAAACTTCCAAAATCTCTAAAAGTTTCACAAGTGCCATTAGTCATCAAAATACTCATACATGGAAGGAAGACTTACAATTATCTGTGTGACACCAGACGCAACTTTATAGCGCAAGTATTTGTGATAGAAAACATATGTGTCATGAATAATAGTGAAGGCATGATGTTGAAAGCTCTGATCGAAAACAGGACAACCCGCGACAGTTGTCCAGAAACAGGACAATATTTTTTGGAGATTTTTTTAAAGTCTTTGATTATATTTTTACGCAGAAGATGATTTTTTCCGAGGACTACTGTTTTAAAATACGTGATTTTCCGTGTTTCCGCGGAGATTTCACATCCCTGTAAATAAATACACAAATACTGTAAATTAATGTGTCTCCGACTGCTGACCCCTAGCCAAAAATGCGACTGTTGGCTATATTCTAGCTATACAACAGCAGGCTTGAAGTATGTGAGTCTGGATAAGAAAAACTAGTGATTGATACTATGATCAATTTTCTAAAAGTCAGGTGACCACCTGATCGTAGTTCACCTCTTCCGACAAACACTAGATTGTTGGGTACCAGATTAGGATTGGCCTTCAGCAACCAATGCTTGTCGTCAGGGGCAACTAACAGGATCATTGGTCATGCTCCATGGTTGATGCATAAACTGTTGATGGATGCGGAGTGAAGATGAAGGATGGGATTGATGGTGAATATGGTGAAGGGAACAAATGTAGCGATGTTTAATGTCTGTGCGACAACTGAGGAGGGGATACTGGCAGTCAGGGACTAAGACCTAATAAATAATATATACCGTATTCGACATAATAAGTGCCCAGGGCGTTCTCAAAATTAGAAATAGGTGGCTCTTATTAGAATTATTTTTTTGGTGAATAACAACAGAGTTGAAAGATCGTAAATTTTGTGGTTTATGCGGACAGCCTAAAATGTTTATATGCGACAGATATATTTTTCCAAATTTAATTGCCCATAATTAAGGGTGCATATGACACACGAGTGCGTATTATACAAGAATAAATAAATCTTGTGTACATTGATCAATCGAAAGGGGAGCTAACTGGGATTGTTCACTAGCCAATATGTTAGCAAATATCGCCGTAGGTTTCTGGCATTCCCAAGAGACACAACTCTTCACAACGAATAGTTGTGCCTTTGACTGGGCCACCTGTGCCCCTAAAAGAATAAAGACACTCTGTGGTAACGTTTTACTAATTGTTAGTTTTTTCATTAAGTGGTACACAATGGAAACAACTTTTCTTACACCACATCCTTCTCTATATGTTTCTATGGTTCACGTTTCTTTTGGCGGTGAGTATATTAGGTTCTTCACAAGTAAGTTTGAATTATCAAGTGAGAGGATTGGTATTAATGCTGTGCTGAAAAATTCAATCAGTGATGCAGATCTTCCATGTTTACAAACTTCATAAACCACAAGATACTGTTCATTATTGAACAAGCAAGGTTCATAACTGGATCCTGGAATGGCTAAGGGAGGTAACTGCTTAGTGAATTGCAGAACCTGAGACCACAGGTCTACCTGTGTCACCAGAGCTGAGATTAGATTTTCCAGGTAATGGCCCCACAATCCTCAATTTCTTTTCTTTTCCTCTCATTACAAACATATTGCAATGAAATATCACTCTGCCAGACGTCTGAATGGTGCACTATTGCAGTAAACTGACCTTCATGTTATCTGGAGGATCCCCTTGACCAGTGGTGGCACACACGAAGATGACCAGAGGTTCATGTATCAGGTCAGCCTGTTGGGGTAACCATGGCAACAAGAATGATTAACATTATACATACAAGTAAACAGACAAACACACAACAAGAAATGGCACTCCTCATGACGTTACAAGTTATCAATGACTCGAAAAGAGTTGAATCTTATTGGTTAAACAGAGGTATCAAATAACAGTGACCATCACTAATTGACACAGCGTGATCATTTGACACTCTAATCATTGCTCTTTGTTGGTTACCAAATGCTTTTTGTGGCTACCCAACTATAGTGAGAGAGTGAGTTTGGGTTAAAGCCGTTTGAAGAGTATTCCAGTTTATATCACAGCATATGTCATCTTAATGGAAAGCCTTCTGATCAGAGGTCGGATGCCTTGTCCACATGACCAAAAGAGGTAACCCTGTGGGAGGAAAGCCCGAAGTGATGCAGGTCTCAGACATTTACCACTTCGATGAAACCCACAAGCAGGGATATGGTGCTGACAAACCTAGAAACATAATCGAGTCGAATCAGAAATCGACCCCACAGTCATACCTTTCTGGCATGCCCAAGGGACACAACTCTGCAAAGCGAATTGTGGTGCCTTACACTACTGGGTCACCCGTACCCCCTCAAGTAAAAAGAAACATGCTCAACTGTAGAACAACTGTCTCATAAAAAGTAAGATTGTCTGATTCCGGAATAATCTACCAACCTTAAATTTATTAAAACGAACATGTACCTCAATGGAAAATTGAGAAATCTTGTTGGTTCATGTGATCTTGATAAAGTACTATGTATCCTGCCTTGGAGGGAAATAAATTTCATAGCGAGCAGGAGAATAAATCCCTTATACCCGACAATGAAGAAACAGGCTGCAGATGGATTTCTCAGTGGGAGAATGAATCCCTTATACCCCGCTTTGAAGCAAAAGGCTGCATGCTTTTTCCCCCCGAGTCAATAAAAGTCATGTGACACAGCACAAGTTTACCTCAGCTCAATCAAACAGCTCTTTTCTATCAATTTTCAATTTGTCTTCATTCTTTTGTAACAGTGGCTGATCAAAACATGTCAGTAAGATCATTTCGTTGCTGCAGAATCACTTGGGGTACATGGGATTTTATGCGTCCCTCGATAGGTTCTATACCATGAGCCGGACGGGTTATAGCGAAAACGGCACCTCAGCAAAACGTCACCGGGCGAAAACGGCACCTCGACTCGAGCGAAAACGGCACCTTATTTTATTTTTTTACCTTGGTCAAATAAATGATATTAAACTTACATTGTAACTTGCAAGCGCCAATAATTGTGAGATGTTAAAACAAGTTTACAATAGATATTAGCCTCTACTCCAACTATAATCCAACTTAGCTTATACGCAACTCAACCGATTGGGAGGCGTAGTTAACTTATTGTGAAAACACTATACGCTTTGAAGTTTTAAGTACCAATACTCAATTTAAGCTGAAACTGTATTTAAGAGGCCAAACATGATGCTGTCGGATCACAATTATTCACAATGGCCTTTCGATGTGTTGCATGCGAGAAGAATGTCAGAACAAATCAACATGCTGTGATAACTGTGACCAGTGGACCCTATATTTACTTATATCTCTGAAAAGAGGAAATGTAAATACATCCCTAATAAAATACCATGTAAATAAACCCAATATATTACTACAAAAATCGTTGTTATCGTTATTAAAAATAGAGGTGCCGTTTTCGCCCGACTCATAGTAGCCGTTTTCGCCAAATGCGGTGCCGTTTTCGCCAGGGAAATGGGTGACGTTTTGCTGAGGTGCCGTTTTAGCCTGCACCCAGCCGGACACTGCTACAACGTACAATGTATTCCTATCTATATTTTCAAAGCGACTTACAATTTGATATGAATCCAGTTCCGAGACTCTCGTGTGGAAATGCCGTCTCCGTGCCTCCCGACCCACCCTCTCAGCCACATCCTGTGCGGTACCAGTCTGACTCCCATACAGAACGAGCACTCTCCGCTCACTTGACAATGACATCCTGAGATTTTGTGAACATATCAACATTTATTTTAATTTCATGAATATTAATGTCATAAATATGTAGATATGTGTCAAAACAACGCCGGTACAAATAAAAAAAATAAATGAAAATCTCACTTGTTGAAGTAGATCGATCTGCTGTCTCTTATTGGGGGTGATGTCTAACTCGATCAACAGACTAATAACATTACGCATGTGTCATGGGGGCTGCCATCTTGGCTGTATTAAAACTCGGACTCATAAAGCGGAAAATGAGTAGTTAATATTTATATCTTCGATCGGTAACATTGAAAATGAAGAATTCTGACTTTGTTTATGAATGAAACGCTGATTGCATCTAAAAGCAACTTCCCAATTTCTAGTTTGTTTATTTTTGTGTTCAAATTAAAACATGTCAATTCGTTTTCGTAATTCCGTTCTTAATGAAAGTTGTTACTTCCGGCAAAATAACACGCTGCGTGAAAATTGGCTTTGGTTGGAAACCCGTGTTTATTTCTCAATTATGAAGTTGCTTACTCATAACATGTTAACATCTAACATCATCAAGGGCGTGTCTAAAGGGTACCCCCTCAAAATCATGGTAAGCATATTCATACATGTTTTGTCCGCTTATTCTGATCAGAGACCATATACTGATTTTAGGCCAAGTGTGGGTGCAGGCTAAAACGGCACCTCACCACACGTCATCGATTTCTCTGGCGAAAACGGCTACTATGTGTCGGGCGAAAACGGCACCTCTATTTTTAATAATGATAAGAACGATTTTTGTGGTAATATATATGGTTTATTTACATGGTCACAGTTATCACAGCATGTTGTTGTTTTCTGACATTCTTCTCGCATGCAACACATCGAAAGGCCATTGTGAATAATTGTGATCTGACAGCACCATGTTAGGCCTCTTAAATGCAGTTTCAGTTTAAATTGAGTAAAGGTACTTAACACTTCAAAGCGTATAGTGTTTTCACATTAAGTTAACTGCGCCTCCCAATCAGTCGGCGAGTAAATTGGAGTAGGGGTCTAATTTCTTACTTGTTTTTTTTCACAATTTCACAATTAATTGTGTTTGTAAAGACGACGTGAGTTTAATTTCTATTATTTTTCTTCAAAGCATGTCATGTTTTTACAATAAGTTGTGTTGTGTATAAGCTAAGTTGGATTATAGTTGGAGTAGAGGCTAATTTCTAATGTAAACTTGTTTTAGCATCTCACAATTATTGGTGTTTGCAAGTTACCATATAAGTTTAATAGCACTTTTTTGACCAAGGTAAAAAAAAAATAAGGTGCCGTTTTCGCCAGGCAATAGTAACCGTTTTCGCTTGAGTCGAGGTGCCGTTTTTGCCCGGTGATGTTTTGCTGAGGTGCCGTTTTCGCTATAACCCCCAAGTATCACATCATACGTTTTTGGACGGCCTTATTTATCACAATTACACACGCTGTAGCGGGGGATGAAGCATCACACAGACATAGAAATTACTCACATTATGGCTTGTTTTTTAGAGGAAGTTCTGGGGTACAAGTTTTCAATTATAAGTGAATAAGATGTGTTACAGTTGTCTATATGATAAGAGATAAAACTACGAATGATTCGTTAACAGCCGAAAACCTATATAACAGTGATTATATTGGCTATGACCATTCTGTCATTAAAATATATATTATTCTTTGACATTTAAAAACGTCCATGATTCTAGCGGTATACAATGCATAGATAAAGAAGAGATCAGGTAATCAACACTCACGTTGATCATTGAGTTAGGCCAACAGAAATGTGGTGATTTTGTACATGTTGTACACAAATTCTGATAACCAAGATAACATTCATTTCTGATTAACATAATTTTGGCCTTACTTATAAAAACAATACAATCAATTTTAGTAACAGCAGCGGAGGAAGTAAGCTCAACAAAACCAGAAAGTATTTTTGAAAAAATAATGACCTTTTTCATTAGCATGATTAGGAGCTTGCCATTTTAAATTTTAGTTTTTTTTAAAAGATACAGATCAGATCTGCTGATCAGAAAGTTTACTCATATTGATAAGTTATAGTCCTTAATGATGTTTGGCTGATTAGAACGTTCATCTAATGTCCCGTCACAAAGGGAGGTATCGGAAATTTTATTGATTTAGGGTTTATGTCTCCAAAATGACTATCAACAATAAGACGGTTCTGTGCACACTTTGGAAAACTCAAATACCAATCTAAATATAAACGCAAACACGGTTTATTGAGAAGCAGTTGTAACAAGTATATCCATGTCATTCAAAGAATAGGAATTACACAATGGGCATCTGGTGAGTTATCACTGCTGGGGTCAAGAGTTCTACCCACTCGTGTCAAGCTTGTTGACACCTTCTCCGCATACCAATCAGTGAACTGTTGGTTCAATTATTTTATTGCCTTTTAACTTCCTTATGCCAGTCAACAGAGTAAACATAACAACTGTGTGTTGGTTTTAGGAAAACATTGTATATTGTTTTTAAAGAAGTGCTCCTGTGGTAGAAATTAATTTTCATCCATTAGTCCTTATGATAACGTATAGCAAAACCCTTAAAAAGGGCAAATTTCTACTAGTCCTTATGATTCCTTAACTATTGGGCAGTGTGGCAAGGACTACAGTACTAGTGCCAATTTCATCAAACTCCTTAAATTCAGATCTTAGTTCTCACTACCGCTAAGCAAAGATCTGAAAATATCCCATTACGGGTCACGTCAGAACGACCTTTCATCCGACCAATCAAAGCGTCACTTACCAGATCATGAAAGTGACAGTCGGAATGTGTTTTCTAAACATGCAACCTCGAAAACGTTAAAACGGAGTATTCCGAATGACAGTTACATCCCATGCAACTGATTCTGTCAAAATTATCGTCTGTCTCTCGCTTCCGTAGGATAAACATTTGAAAGGAGGAGGCGTTGCACAGTACGTGGGAAGCACTGCCATACAATCTTACCCATATTTTAGACATTCCGGAATGTTTGTTTGATCAGTTTTCAAAATTTTAATCCAGAACTGTGTCAACATATTTTTCAAGCGTAGTCTGAAATGGAAGTCGCCAGGTTGAAACGAGTGCTGTAATGCTCAAGAATGCTGCTTTCTCATTGGCTGATATCGACTTCATGTTATTCGTTTCAGTGGGCGGTCAAAGTTCGCGAAAGGTTGTTCTGACGTGACCCGTAATGGGATGTCCTCAGATCTTTGTTTAGTGGCAGCGAGAACTTAGATCTGATTGTAATGAGATTGCAATTTCATATTTGTGCTCTACTCAGCACCAATAAGTGGTGCTATTTTGCTGATTGATTTGATTAAGGTAAGGATATGTATTATTCCACTGGGGATGGGGTGGGCGAGTCTCATTGATATTGAGTCGCATTTTTGGCTAGTCGTATAATTTGGAGACGCATTAATTTCCAGATTTACGGTATATGTTTGTTTCATGACAGGCAGACAAGGTGGAGGTGAAGGACGTGGACTTCAACCCAGAGTTTGTGTCTCGCATGATCCCCAAGCTGGACTGGTCTGCTCTGTGCTCTGCAGCATCTGAGGTGAGTGAGTGAGTGAGTGATGCTGCTTTGAACAGTGTCTTAGATGTATCGTCTTGTCAGCTTGTTTTGGGAGGAAGACCTGAATGATGTGAGTCATTAGAGTTGAGTATTGCCTGGTATCTTACGAAACAATAAGTATCACGATTAGGGCTGCAACGAATACACTATAAGGCGAATACGATTCGTATAATGAATATAGGGTAACAAATACGAATATTTTTTCATGAATACAATAACAAGTCAGCAGTTGATGTATTATTTATGATATTCAGTGAAACAATAACAAAATAAATTATTTGACATGGTTTGTTAATTATTAATTTATTATACATTAATATACTTCACTTATCCAGGTACTAGTGTCTGCTCAAATGCGACAACGACCAGTGACTAAAATACTGTCACTCAAGAATTCTATGGATATAATATGTTCTTATGGATATTTTAAGGGTCAGGGTATGTAAATGCACATGACTGCATATTCATGAATATTCGATTCTAGTGACCACGAATAACAAATTCAATTCATGAATGGATACGGTTCGATTCACCGAATACGCGAGTGAATCGTAACAGCCCTAATCATGATACAGACTGACGATACTACTGGTATTATGATACACCTACGAATAGGAAACATAAGGATGAAATCACTGAAATATAACTCTAAACCCTCCGGATTCATTATTATTTAAAAAAACACCAACTTGATAACAAGACCTAAACAGTTTTAAATGAAGGGGGGCGGTCGGGTAGCCTAGTGGTTAAAGTGTTCGCTCTTCACGCCGAAGACCCGGGTTCGATTCCTGACATGGGTACAATGTGTGAAGCCCATTCCTGGTGTCCCCCGCCGTGATATTGCTGGAATATTGCTAAAAGCGGCGTAAAACCATACTCAGTCAGTCAGTCAGTTTAAATGAAGGGATGGTTATTGAATATATTTTTTACTTATCCTGTATTACTCCTTAATGCATTCACTGCTAACCTTATGCTGGGAATCATCCTTGCTGTGCTGCGACAAGCAGTGATGTGAAGATATCCTTAGGTGTCATGAAGTTCACAGAACAGCGACAGAAGGTCAGTAAAAGGACTTCAGAACAACAACTTTATTTCTTCACCCAGGACCTTCGCAGCGCTGTCCTTCTAGTTGTCGTAAGGTAAGCAGTGAATGCATTAAGGTGTAATGCAGGATAAGTATACAAATGTAAAAAATATTTAGATTTTACTAAAAAGTTTATTAGCAGGCATGTCCTCTATCACCATGTCCTCGTATTGTGCCATTGCTACTTCTGCCATGACGGGAGTAAACTCTATCAGTTTCTGTTCTATTTGTGTTTATGGCATATCACAATCTCAGAAACTGGCGATTCAAGTATCGTCTGTACTGGGGCTGTGTATTGACCTGGATTTTGTATTGCAATATATTGCCGTACTTTAACCTGTATTGCGATACATATTGCAATATATTGCCGTACTTTAACCTGTATTGCGATACGTATTGCTATATATCGCCAATTTACATTTTCATGAGTTATCCTGTATTAATGTCCTTCCCAGCCATGACACCATTGTTGTACTCTCGGTATAGAGAGCTCAGTGAAGGGGCTATCGCTGTGAGGAGCTTGATAGTCGCGATGTGTACACACAAATTGATAAAAAGATCGTCAGAGCCAAGTTGTATCAGGAAGATACTATTTTCCATCTACATATCAATTAGGAACACATACACATACTTATTTATATTTGCCCCAATATGTTGCTACATTTGAAAACGTATTGCAATACATATTGCTGAAGATTTGCACCACAATATAATCTACTAACAGATTCTGGGGCGGTCGGGTAGCCTAGTGGTTAAAGCCTTCGCTCGTCACGCCGAAGACCCGGGTTCGATACCCGACATGAGTACAATGTATGAAGCCCATTTCTGGTGTCACCTGCCGTGATATTGCTGGAAAATTGCTAAAAGCGGCGTAAATCCAAACTCACTCACTCACTCACTCACTGACAGATTCTTTGTGAACTACTGGTGTGGCAAGTTAGGGGTTTTCAGATTGAGAGTGAAATAATGATGTTCCTTGTGTTCCAGGTTGGTCATAGCGAGAATCTCCCGGCTGACCTAGGTGAGAGTTACGAAACTGATCAGGAGTTCCTGAAGCGAGCACACCACGTCCTCATGCAGGTGGGTTTGTCATGTAGTGATGAAGCATCTTGCCGAGGCAAGGGAGTTGAACTAGACCCGAATTATGGAGTTATTGTTTGGCTGGGCTAAAGTGTCTATGCGCAGTCCTATCACAATTGCATTACGAAATCGCCATCCGTTTGACAAACAACATGGCGACTGCGGAGCAGATATTAGTCGATTGCAGGATTTGCAGAGCATGTGTGCTGTCAACAGGGTTTCAACAGATATTTTCCTAGTCTTTTAAAAAAATTTCATCAAGGTGATCACGTGATGTGATGCACTTTGCTAGATAAGAACCGTTTATTACAATATAGATCTTGATTATCGATCTCATCATCTTAACTGGGCATCGTCATTTTGTTTGAAACAAATGCAAGTGATATGAGAGGTGGAATCTGATTGGCCAATAGGAGGGACATGGAAGGGACATAACTGGTCATAGCCAGGTGTAGCGCTGCGATTGAACCCAGAAATTCCAGCCTAGTTCGGCAAGGGTGGAAACTGGACTTTTACAGTCGGGTAGCGCCCTTGCCTTGGGAAAATAATGATGGAGCTTCGGAAGCAGACTATAGTGTATAAGACAAATATACTTGCATGTGACCAGGTGACAGATGATTTTGTTGTAACTGTAAATTACTTTTTGTTCCTAAGATATACATGTCGGTCATTGGGCTTGATCTGTGCTGCCATAACAGTAGTCGACTGCAGGCTGACACTAATATCGTGGGCGGACAGTTACCTTGTGGTTAATGCGTTCGCTAGTAACGTCGAAGGAACGGGTTCAATTCCCCACGAGGCCAATGTGTGAAGTACATTTCTGGTGTCTCTTCCTGTGGTATTGCTAAAATCTCACTCACTTCATTGATACCCTTATGTTTATAGTCAAATTGTTTTGCAGCAAATTCTGCAGCAACCCGTTTTCTACATGAAATAAATAAGGATAAAATTGAATTGAGAAAACTTCCTATTCACAGAACCATAAACTCGCAAACCTCATATTGACATAGTCTTATGAAGGTCACAAGATACAGCTATTTGTAACACAAGTACTGTATTCGACATAATAAGCACCCCACTCTTATAAGCTTTGGCGATATTTGCTAATATATTGGCTAGTGGAACAATCACAGTTAGCAACCCTTCAAATTGATCAATGTACACAAGAATTATTTATTCGTGTATAATACGCACTCATGTGTTATATGCCCCCTTAATTATGGGTAATTAAATTCTGTAAAAATAGATCTGTTGTGTATAATATGTACAGACTTTTCTTTTGTATCATTTCAGGCTGTCAGCATAAACCACAAATTTACGATCTTTTTTACATTTTATTCTAAAAAGAGCCCTCTATTTCTTATTTTGAGAGCACCCTGGGGGCTTATTACTTGAGCATCGGGATGCACTGAATGTATGGTGAATCAATACACCCAGGGCTTTTTATACATTGAGTATGACATCTGTTACCATGGTTACAGGTGGAGGTGATTGAGGGCAACCTGGTGTGCCCCGAGTCCGGAAGGAAGTTTCCCATCAGTAACGGTATTCCCAACATGCTGCTGAACGAGGATGAGGTGTGAGGACAACAACCATCATCATCATCGTTGTCGTCACAGCCATCTGTGTGACCCAACAATACATGTCCAGTGAGAACCAGATTATCAAGGATGTGATACCACCGTCATCATCATCGCCATCGTCATCGTCATCATTGTCATTGTCATTGTCACTACCATTCTAAGCCGGGGCGGTCGGGTAGCCTAGTGGTTTACGCGTTCGCTCGTCACGCCGAAGACCCGGGTTCGATTCCCGACATGGGTACAATGTGTGAAGCCCATTTCTGGTGTCCCCCGCCGTGATATTGCTGGAATATTGCTAAAAGCGGCGTAAAACCATACTCACTCACTCACCATTCTAAGCCCATTTACATATCTGTTGACTGTAAATTTTGTTGAAATGAAAGAAAAATCATGATTTGGTCTTGTTTTTTCCACAGATAAGCTGATAGCATATTGCACTCAAAAGTATTTTCTAAACAAGGACCAACTGAAGTTGACAAATACGAAACATGGGAGTCAAAATAAAGTTTGTTGTTCCTGAAATTGATAGGATGCATAGATGCATAGCAGTATTCCTGCTTGATTCATCAGGTTTACATTGCTTAAAGCAACGTCTGTGTAGCAGGCTCTCCTCCCACGTTAAACCATTTTTATTTTTTTATACCAGCCGACCTTTAGCATGTTTAGTGGAGCAGAAAACTGAAACCATAGTTGAATCGTTTTTTTCTTCGTTTTTTTTTTAACCTACCAACAGGTATTTTGGTGTAAAGGATCCGTAAGGCAAGTTTAAAAAACGTCGCATAATCATGACATCCAAAATATTGGTCAAGCTGGTGCACGTGAACTTATGGAAGAACATTACTAAATAAGTGACAGTATGGCATAGTCAGGACCTCTTGAAACATGACGACTTTCACATGTTGGGAACAATTGTCATCGATCCCAATTGCGTGGATCGATGCTCATGATGTCAATCACTGGATTGTCTGGTCCAGACTCAATTATTTACAGACCGCTGTCATATGGCTGGAATATTGCTGGGTGCAGTGTTAAACAACAAACCATCCATCCTTACTACTGCCGCTCTTGTGGACCAAATGTAGTCCCCGATATGCCTTGTCCTTCATCATAATTATGGACGAATAGCAAACATCCTAACAGTTGTCATGGATATGCTGATGGGGATGTGTGTAACTTGTTATGGTTTGTGTAGAAAAAAGTTCTTTGAATTATGTTGAATGAATAAAGAAATTAACTGTTCTCTTTTCTGTTGTATGGACCCAATTGCCATGGTTACAAGAGTGATACAGACTGTGATGCTGTGGCATCTGTTGAGGATTCTGCCGATAAGTTGAATAGAACTCCAAAGGGATGGCTGCGTATGAGTTATCTAGCGAAGCCTTTTTGGGCCATTTGTTTTTTTGTTGTTTTTTTCTTAAAACTTCAAGATACAAAGTTTCAAGATACATAGAAAGTTGAAAATTCGAGATAATGATCTAGAAATTTCAACTCATATATCTTGAAATTTCAAGAAAGAAATAACAAAACAAATGGCCCTTAAAGGATTCCGTAGTTATGAGTGGTGTTAGATTGGTCTTTTTCCTGCCATTTTTTTTTTCTTGTTCAAAGCAGCACTCGAAAATATTCCAGCTGAAATGAAGTGGCACCAAAGGCGTATTGTAGATGTTTATGAAAAAAAGGCAGGCAATCAGTTCAAAACCTATGTTGTTGTTTATATATTAAGATACCATTGACACCGGTCTTTGAAACAATTAAAGGACATTAGGCGGGTCATGAGAAACAAGAAATACAATATACCCGCTAAAGTTGCAAAAGTTTTAATACAGCAGAAAGACGTTCATTCTGTGCGCGATCTTCCCAGCAAAGCAGTTTAGGTAAGGACAATCTCGCACATGTATCTGCGTTTATTGTAGTTGGGGATATCACTGAGACCGTCCGCCTTAAGCTGCACCACGTCCTGATCGTCCAGAGCATCGGGTTCTCCAACTCCCCAACTCCCTATGTCGTCTGTGCTGCCGTGTCCAGTCCACTCAAAGCCCAGAGAGCTGACCTTCTTCATTCCAATCCAAATGCGATAAAACCTGGCTCCTGTGGAGATCGCAGTGCCATCGTCTTTACCAATCTCATGATTATCAGATATTTTACTCCGATATCACACCTCTGCGCGAAGATCTGACAGCCCTTCCACTGCAAGTTTTGGTCATCTGAACTTTCTATGCACAGCTATATTGCTGTGAATATTTTATGCACCCTATCTTTTCTGAGCACCTTGGCATCTTGTACCAAAAGGTGTACTATCGAGGGTATGTGTATCTTCTCTGTGTGTTTCTGTTGTTTAGATCGGACTATAGATATTGGGTTAAGAAGTGAAACCGAATCGTTCACAGCTGATCGATTTGGCCCAAGAATCCACGGGTGTTTCATTTAGAATAGGCGGTCAACGCCTCATGATGGGTAGTTAGATTGTCGCGGTGAAAGGTATTCTGTCGGGTTTTTTGTTTGTTTGTTGATTCACTCAGCAATATCCCAGCTATATAACGACGGTCTGTATATAATCATGTATATGACATCATGAGCATCGATCCACGCAATTAGCATACGATGACATGCATCAACCAAGTCAGCGAGCCTGACCACCCGATCCCGTTGGTCGACTGTTACTACAAGCATAGTCGCCTTCTACTGCAAGCATGGGTTGTATATATGGATGAATATAATACACCCATTAAAACGAATTAATGACTTAAAAATAAAATAAATTCACATCGCATACATAAAATGTCGCTCGGATGGAATGTATAAGTGGAAAAATCCACGTCTCTAAATTATTTCTTTATTTGAGTGAGTTATAACTATAATTTAATCGCTCAACAATTTAGTAGACATATTACTTGGATCAAACGCTTTTCCCCCGATGCTGTCCAAGTATGTCATCACCGCGTCCTGCTTCCTCGGCTGTCCAGGTTGACAAGGCGCCCAGTCTCAGCGTGACACGTTTTCTGGCTCCTGTACCAGTCACGTGTGTCCGTGGATGCGCTCAGTCGGAAACACAGGTTCACAAAGGGGAGAAGCTTGTAGTTGACCTGGTCAGATGATTTGTGGGCTGGGATGAACAAGATGCCGTTTTAATAATTAAATTACAAAATATACAAATATATTACATCTCCTGCCCCTCAAGGCAATATCTTCTCCTGCCCCACAAGGCAACATCTTCTCCTGCCCCACAAGGCAACATCTTCTCCTGCCCCACAGGGCATCATCTTCTCCTGCCCCACAGGGCAACATCTTCTCCTGCCCAACAGGGCAAAATTATCTCCTGCCCAACAGGGCAACATTATCTCCTGCCCCACAGGGCAACACCCCCTGCCCCTCAGGACAACATATTCTCCTGCCCCACAGGGCAACATCTTCTCCTGCCCCTCAGGGCAACACCCCCTGCCCCTCAGGGCAACATTATCTCCTGCCCCACAAGGCAACACCCCCTGTCCCTCAGGGCAACATATTCTCCTGCCCCACAGGGCAACATTATCTCCTGCCCCACAAGGCAACACCCCCTGTCCCTCAGGGCAACATATTCTCCTGCCCCACAGGGCAACATATTCTCCTGCCCCTCAGGGCAACAACTCATGCCCCTCAAGGCAACACCTTCTCCTGCCCCTCAGGGCAACATATTCTCCTGCCCCACAGGGCAACATCCTCTCCTGCCCCACAGGGCAACATATTCTCCTGCCCCTCAGGGCAACACCTTCTCCTGTCCCTCAGGGCAACATCTTCTCCTTCCCCACAGGGCAACATCTGCCCCCGAGGGCAACATCTTCTCCTTCCCCACAGGGCAACATTATCTCCTGCCCCACAGGGCAACACCCCCCTGCCCCTCAGGGCAACATCTTCTCCTGCCCCACACGGCAACATTATCTCCTGCCCCACAGGACAACACCCCCTGCCCCTCAGGGCAACATCTTCTCCTGCCCCACAGGGCAACTTTATCTCCTGCCCCACAGGGCAACACCCCCTGCCCCTCAGGGCAACATATTTTCCTGCCCCACAGGGCAACATATTCTCCTGCCCCTCAGGGCAACACCTCCTGCCCCTCAGGGCAACATATTTTCCTGCCCCACAGGGCAACATATTCTCCTGCCCCACAGGGCAACACCCCCTGCCCCTCAGGGCAACATATTTTCCTGCCCCACAGGGCAACATCTTCTCCTTCCCCACAGGGCAACACCCCCTGCCCCTCAGGGCAACACATACTCATGCCCCTCAGGGCAACACCTTCTCCTGCCCCACAGGGCAACATTATCTCCTGTCCCACAGGGCAACACCTCCTGCCCCTCAGGGCAACATCTTGCAGTATTTATTCATTGTTGCTACTGCCGCTGCCCCGCCATCCCCCGTTCCTTGGGTGACATATTCCTAGCGACGTTCTCACCTTTTTTCCGGAGGTTGTTGTTTCTCCACCATTGTTGTCAGATTGTTTGTTTGTGCTTTCACAAGTTCAAGGCTCTTCTAGGTTTCCTTATCCTTCCGATTGATTTCTGATGGAAAAACAGCACCGTGAGAACTTGCAATGACCGATTACTCTGACGCTGCATCTTTGATATATTAATGTTCATAATGTAATAATTTAACAAAATAGACATAAAACCACAATGAACGACAGTATTACTGTATTGGTCTTGAAGAGGAAGTGCAAACCAGCGAAATGGCAATGTGAAGGTTGGTTGGTTGTTTAACGCTGCACTCTGCAATATTCCAGCTATATACGGCGGTCTGTAAATAATCGACTCTTGACCAGACAATCCAGTGATTAATATCATGAGCATCGATCCACGTAATTGGGATCGATGACATGCGTCAACCAAGTCTATGAGCCTGACCACCCGATCCTGTTAGTCGCTTCTTACGACAAGCATAGTCACCTTTTACAGCAAGCATGGGTTGCTGAAGACCTATTCTACCCCGGATCTTCACGGGTCGCAATGTGAAGGAAATGGTATGAATGGCCCTATTGGTGTTCCATTATAACTGGCAGTCCATAGGTAATATTACTTCTGAGATGGTGTAGATTACACACAGCGTATTGATGTTTTGAATGTATAGTGTTTTATGCCGCTTTGATTAGTATTTCAGTTATTTCACAGCGTGTCACCTTCATTGACCAGAAAGTGATGCAGTTCCCAGACGATTATCACTTTGTTGAAACCCACAAGCACAGATTTGGTGCTGGCAACCTTATACACATAATCAGTGAGAATCTGATATTCGAAACAACGGGGGGGGGGGGGGGGGGGGGGGGGGGGGGGGAGAGAGGCACATGATGAAATACCTTTACGTAGTCCAAGGACCGCTGATTCAAATCCTGACGCGACGTTGTCCATTTGGCGGGCTAATGATTTGATATCATTGCGTAGAGAATTCTCTGAAATATACATATGCAGTATAATATATGAGTTTCAAATAGCATAAATAACGTCAGTTAATGTGTTAATGTCCCCATATGCCAATACAATCTACACAAAGTGATATCTCCTACATCAGCCATATAAGACTCTGAAAGATGCTATCTTAGGATTGTTTCCTAAGAACAATCTAACATCACCTACATAAGACCTTGACAAAGGTCAACCAAGACTCGGATAGATGCTAAAAAGAGATGCTAAAAAGAGTGACATGGACATAATCAATCTCTGGTCTCGGTGATATTAGCGATATAAGAGTAGGACATCGGGTATGTAGGACATATGTTAATCAGTATGAGAAATATGTATTAAATATTGTATTGGAAAAGATGTTTTCGGACAGTTCGGTCATATGCAGAGAAGAGTATTACTCCGCGTAAGCATATCCAAGACAGATCATATTGTTGAAACACCAATAACTGGCCACACTCAGCAATATTCCAGCTATATGTCGGCGATCTGTATATAACTGAGTCTGGACCAGAGAATCCAGTGATTAGCATCATGAGCATCGATCCACACAATTGGGATACGATGACACGCTTCAACCAAGTCAGCGAGCCTGACCACCCGATCCCGTTAGTCGGCTCTTACGACAAGCAGTCGCCTTTTACGGCAAGCATGGGTTGCTGAAGACCTATTCTATCCCGGATCTTCACGGGTCAGTTACTTGGCAACTCGACTGTCTACCACCCTCAACCCACCTCATCCCGATCTCTTCACTCATAGTGTGGCTTGTAGCAATATTCCATCTATACAACAGCTACCCCTTTGTATTAC